GCCCAGTCACTAGAAAGACTGCGACCAGCGTCTTACCGTTAGTCTACCTTTCCGGTCTGTCACCACCAGCAACGGCCAGAGAGACTTTAGCAAAACATTCTTGTGAGAAAACGTTGCCAACCACATTCGTGAACTCTTCAAGTTTGCCTATCGCCCAGTCACTAGATAGACAGCGACCAGCGCCCAATGACAGTATTCAGACTTCAAGTAGCTCAAATATTCATGACTACCGAGAACTATTCTTGGCAACTCTCTGACCATGTACTCTCCAAACGATTGGCTGACACGAACTCCGGGGCCTCAAACCAGAATGCATTGACACAACAATTCCCTATACGCAAGTATTGGCCGCCAATTGTTTGTCCGACAACAACTCGTTCTTCTACACCATAAGGCGATTCGAAGTAAAAAAATTGATAACTTGTTTTAAACATGACTACCCGCAGGTGGTGAGCCGAACTCGGTTGGCTTCGCTGTTTTAGACCCGTTCTCCTAACCACACTTCATAGAAGTAATCACAGATAAATATAATCAAAGATAAATACGACTGTGGTAGTAGTCCTAAATTAGTATTTAGTATAAGAATGCAGTACGAATTAACGACATCAGAACGATCTAGGTCGTACATCCTTCCCTTATTTAGAATTGACCAATGCAATTGAAGAATCTAAAGATTAATTTTCATTCGTCCACTAGGTATGAGGATGTCCGCTATTTGAAAGTCCCCAGTATAGTGCAAAATTTCCAATTTTGACAGAATTCCCAATCCACGTACAAAATACGCATCACAGCGATTATGACCCTGCGGGTGATGAAGGTCGAGTCAGTCTCAAACGGAACCGTAGATCACTCACCCCTTGACTTATTTTCAAAAACATTTATCTCTACATCGCAGCCAGGCAGCATGATCTGGAATTGCAACATCTCTACACAACGATCCTCTTTATAGGCGTATTTGTAATAGTGCGATCAGGAGAACGAAACTGTAGACTTTGTATTAGACACTGCGGCTTGAGTGCAAACGAATTGTCCGGTCATTCCCTATGTACTGACGGATTGACAGTACTGTAGGAGGCAGACATCGACGAAAGCGAGGCAGTGATCATAGGCAGATAGACATTTACCGATAATTGTATTTATTGGCAAGGTACCGGACTGGGCGATACCTGGGTTGCTGCTACGCCCAGCCTTTAAATTCGCCCCCTACATTTGAGCTGTCGATTTAGAAACTACATGTGCTGTTATCACCGGGGACTCCGAACAGAAGGAATTTTGGTGATGACGTAGGTTTCCTGTCACACTGATCATCTCGCGCCGTTCTAGCCCCGCCTTTCCAAGGCCCAGCGATAAAAAGGACACGCGAGACATGTTCCGCAAAACAACGAGTGACCAATTTTTATAAAAAAGTTATCTCAGTTGTACTAGAAATTGTGAGAGGAAGCCTGTCAAAGCCAAAACCGTCAGCTCACTGGTATAAAAAAAAATGTGTGAGAGGAAGCAATAACCGTTATGCACATATAAAGTGTACGCATATGCAGCTTCGTTCAGAAGTTTTGCAATTTAAAATTAGCTACATAAGGCATACCTTTAGTAACAATGTCGACGATGAGACGCATACTTTTTTTTTTGGCGTACTATGCGAGCTGTAATACCAGCTCTTTGTCATAACAGACGATACTTGTAGACACCCCTAATACAAAGCACAAAGTATAATATTTAAATATCCTTCATCCAAAGCCTCGACTAGATTATTTTGAAGCCCAGGACAGCATTTCACAACATACTTTGCGCGTCTCCAATATCTCTCCATAGAGTTGCATTAAAAAAACCCCCATATAATGCCGTATTTATCACAGATTTATAAAATTTTCTGGCCGTTATCATTTTTTATAGTCCATTAGTTCGAGAGACTCTCAATCGAAATCCATTGATTGTACAATTACTTTGCATAATTTTTACCATAACACAATATTTAATAGCCGTCTCGAAATGTAATGTGGCTAGACCATATTTGGACGATCGTCAAATACTAATGCTACTTTGCCTGATGGCCCAACTTAACTTTTAACTATTGAAAAAATGAGAGACTACAGGTCTCAGACCAGATTCTACAGCAAGTAGGGCCAAGGCTCAGGGCTCAGGGTAAATGGCTCAGGGCTCAGGGCTCGGGGCTCTTGGGGCTTGAGGCTCGAGGCTCGAGGCTCGGGGCTCAGGGGCTGGCTGACTGGCTGGCTGTCTAACTCGGCTGGCTGGTTGCGCTTCTGACTGGAGAGCAGTGTAGGTTAGTAGCACGAAAGTAAAGTGACCTGATAAGTCGTTAGAGTGCAATTTAGTAGACTTTAACTAAAGTGCATATGTATGTATTGATTTCTGACCTCATCTTTGTCTTCTACATAAGGTGTCTGTACTAGTGTTCAGCCACTTGGGCTGGCCAGGGTAAAAACTCATGTGGTCAAAATGAGAAACCTTCTGCAGAACACTTTAACACTTCGATGCTATTCTATTTCGACTTCTCGGCAATATTAGCTCACTTCCGAGAGCTAATCAAGTTGCTTAACTTTCTCACGAGAGTAGAGTTAATACTTAACCGAGACACCCGTGTGTCGATAAAGCTTCTCAACCGACTCCCGAAAATTAATTGAGTTTGTTAACCGCAACAAGCTATCAATAGCTGTAAACCTATTTGAGTCACAACATATGTGGAACCGACACCCGAGAATTGAAGAAGTTTCTCCACCGATACCGGAGAGTTGAGTTAGTCTGTTGTCTAGCTCTCGAGTGTGAGCTAACTCTGATGATTTCTATAAATCGAAGAGGGCTTCTTGCTGTAAAATCTGGTCTGAGACCTGTAGTCTCTCAGTTTATACTTGTATTATACCAAGGTTGCCCAATCTCAGTGGAGTCTCGTGACATTGTGCTTCCTTACAATAGCTTTACTTCATTTACATCAATTATAATTAATTGCGACTTCTGTTAGAGAAATATTTTGGCCAGGAACGAGTATGGTGATCATTTCATGACAGATTCCGTGCTTTCGCCCCTGACGTCTCACCCGTGTACGATGCTCCGTGTGTTTTTATATTGATAAAGTACAGAACCAACATATATTTCGAAACTAAGTTGGCACAGTATTGCCTTAATTTCATTTTATTGTAAAATATACCATCGCTTCAGAATGAAGTTCATCTTATATCTACTAGACTACTTTTTGCCCAGAATCCTTTCAGGTGTCTTTCTTGTACTTGAGATGTTTTCTGGTCACAGATTCGTCTATGTGTTCGCTCCTCCCGAAAAGGAGTTAGTAGAATTTAACCTAAATTTCATTTCATTGTGAGAAGTTTCATTGCTCCGGAATAAAGTTCATTTAATATCTACTTTACATTCTTTTGAGGTTGCGAACTAAATCCACAAGTAGGGAAACTATTCGCTATTTAATCAGCTTGGCCTGCCTTCCACCATGGATCCTACATCTTTTATAGAAACATCACTGTTCATTATAGCCTACAAACCTTATAACGTTCGTTACCTGACTACAATTCATCGAAAACTAGCTAAATATCAAAAGCGACATTTTGCTACTATAGATCTAAAACTGATGCCTGCGCGTGTAAAACATTCATGCAGAATTGAAATAAAATAGTTATTCTCGGACATATCCTATTGATTTCTGGTTGGGAAAAAGAAAACTACAGCACAAGCGGCTATGGGTGAGTGTTGGTAGTTCAAACGTCTCAACAGCCAGCTAGTGCAAAACTTGTTCACCTGTATATTTATTAATCGCATCGATATGCCCGTCGCTGTCTGACGAAAATCGATTCATCTCAAATTCATTTCATGTGCTCTTGGGCTGACCCACATATAAATGAACTAGTTCGAGGACAAGTTACAAATTACTTTCTGACTGATGGTGTAAAAAGTTGTTAATGTATTAGAAACAAGTTTACTCCTGTAGTCTCTCACCTTCAACAGAAGACAAACGACGGCCCTAAGACGAACACTCAACAATGCAAAATGCGATTTGCGTCGGTTCGTTATATTTGTACAAGCTCAAATATGTATATACGACTGAAAATCATAGAAACAACATGAATACTTTTGGCGTGTTTTTATACACAGCCAGTCAATGAGATTTGATGCAGAATTATGATAACTTCTGTAGTCTCTCATTTTCAACAGATGGCGAACGACTGTCCTTAGACGAACACTCAACAACGCAAATGTGATTTGCGTCGTATCTTTCGCTATGTTTGTGCAAGCCCTTTAAGTATGCCAAAAACGACAGAAAATTACAGAAGTAACATGAGTACTTTTGGCGTGTTTTGATACACAGTGAAAATTATCGATTAAGTTATATTATTATACGAACAAGGAATATGAATTTGTGCTAGGAGTGCGGTGCAACAAAGAGGCTTTAACTTAAAATCGATTGTAATAGATTTCTTTTAACGACTGAGACAATCAACTTGAGCCAGACACTGAAAGATACCAGCGCCCTCATCGGCTTGGACCACCCAATGCCCCTTGTACGCATGACGAGAGTGATTTTTCCTGCTTCTTTAGATTACCAACGCCATTCCTTGTACTCTATAATCAAGTGTTCTACCGAAGAAAAAGAAATACATTATCGCAACAGTTGTAAACTCACTACGAAAATGTCAAGGGTTCAGGGGCAGCGCTGTTTTTGAATTCCAGAATATAGAGACGGCTATAATTGGTGTGGCCGATTTAAAATCTGCCAAATGGTATCCAGGTGACGCGACGTGTTGGGAGTGACAGAGAGACATATTGGGATATGTATGGATAAGCTGATTACACATTCCATGTGTGATGGCGTGATACGTCCCAGCTATGCGATGGCCGCGATTTCTCAGAGACGATATTTAAATAAGCCTATCATTAGGTGCTAGCCAGCAAATACTGCACCACACCCCTGGCGTTTCGAGTAGTCATTTGTGTTGATTTCAGAATTGGATAGATCGATTCGACGACACGAAGCCATATGGGATTCAATTTTATTCGGACGGATTTTGTACGACTAAATAAGCTTGAAATCTGGGAGAGAGTTTGCATAGCAGAGCACGATTGGCAGAGAGGGCACAAACTATATTTAAGAAGTCTACCTGTACAGTTAGGTACATATTGGGATACTGTGTGTGTTCACAAGGACAAGTAGCTCAGTCGGCACATTCGGTAGCATATGGCGAGCCTAGAACAAAATCTTTCCGACAGACCATTCACTCAACCCGTGATGAATCTGCTAGCGAGCCTTTTCCGCACCCTAGTCGTAACTTTGAGTGAAGTACTCAGGTCTTACATGATCGTGCCATAGGGGTGCAGATTACTTTGGCTGAGTTCTGCTCCACAACTAGGCCAGCCTTTCGTATACAATACCATAACTAACTCTATAACGTTGTGCTCTCCACCAAATTTGTTTTACGGAAACGATTGATTGATAAATGCTTTCGCCTGATTATCAGATGAGGAGTCAAAAAAGAAGACCCGTGATGCGTACTCTAATAAGTTGCCCAGTGATAGTTACAATTTCTCGCGACCGAACGGTGTCACTAAGGCTACAGAATGTTTATGCGTCGTCGCAGCACTCGTGTGGGCCACACGTGCCTGTCAATTTAGGCATCTCTATATGTGAACAGCGAGCAGAAGCACACGCTCATGACGTTGGAGTTCTGGCAACCAGCCGTTCCAAAATCCACAATGCCGCCTTTTTGTCCAAACAATTGTTGTACTCTCCACACGAAGGATCATGAGTGCACGCGGGACACCCATTCGCCTCCTCGCAATCGCATCCCTATAAAGTTGCATAGCAACAGCGGCATTTGGAATTCAATAAAGGCAAGGCGTTTCGTAGCAACGGTATGGTGCCAATAAGCACTACGAATACTTCGTGAACTACTTACTTTTTTAATACAAATGTTTGCACTAATAACAAGGTGGTGTCGAGGGGCAGCATCGAATTCTTCACACCAAAAGAACGAGCCTGGCCACTGATCAGACAACTACGCATACTCGACTTAACTACCAACTGCTATGATTTTAGCGATTCTACGCTTGCCGGATAGTCAGAAGCGCGGTCATTGTGGCTTATCGTTCGTGTGCACGTCAGACCTAGTCAATACATCCAAAAGTTCAAACATTCACGACTCAAGATATTATAATTGGCAAGTTTGAGGAAAAAGATATCATTTCGGGTCAAGAACGACAAGAGTTGAGCACAACATCACGGAGAAGTGGACCTACAACAGTAAATACAATATTGAAACATTGCATTGACGTGTCATGGCAAGATACAGCACATGGCCTCACTATCCTACCCACTATCCTACCTTTATAAGCTCATAGGCTTTCTGCATGATCGGTTCGATCTTGTGATAGGCGGCTTCGGAGATACCAGTTCCACCCTCGACGGAGTCGTATATGTTGATACATAGTGGTCTGTTGACAATGAGATATACCATGATGGGTATGAAATATGCTACAAGGCGCTTTAGGGATAGGAAAGGAGTACCACTTCGTATGCATACGAGAACATGACTTCATGGGTCTTACCTACCTTTCCTAGATATTATGTGTGGGTATGTAACTTAACACAGATTGATAAAGTCCTAAATTCCGGGCCGCACGATACTTCAGTAATTGCACGTTCATAACTCATACTGGAATTGAATTCGATCGAATGAAGACAACAGAATCCAAACGTATATCACCAAATGCCGCAAAACTATTGATAAACAGTCTTGATTCTATAAATATATGCTCGTATTCAGAATGCAACAACACAAGTGACAAAGGACTCGCTGCGGAAGCTTACCCAGATATCTATTGGTATACATCCCTCAGCGTTCTGTGAGGAAGTCTCACTCACCTATTTTTCGTCTCTTGTTCAGAATAGCACACAGGTTGCACATCTCCTCGGTCACAGAGCAAGTAGAAACCCAAGACATTTACCAGCAAGTGATTGCAGGCATGCAGACCCCCGCTATGAGCGTACATGATATGAACGGAAGAAATTAGATCATAATTTCCGCTGAAAAATTTTCAAGAAAAAAAACTTCGTTTTTGTTGAGCAGGAGCGCAAAAACACAATTTGCTTGATATTGATATTAGAACATGCCCACGAATATCTTGACACAATTTTCTTTTGTTGACAGAATAGAACGGAAACTTGAAAAACCTATCACAGATAGAACACATTTTGTGAAATCAGATACCGATAGTCTAGGCTTATCTCAGCCAACCCATTTTTGAATTCGAGCCCGATGTCAATCCAAAGCGACTCGGTGATCATCTCAAAATCCGGGATCTCCGAGGTGATAGATTCAATGATTGTGCGCGTCTTGTTGAGGATTTTTTTGTACCCGAAAACATTGGTCACCACCCGTACACTCCCATAGGCTCCCGTGTAGGGATGTGCCTTTGGACCCCCGGTGAGGTGCCGGCGGACTGTGTAGTCGACGAGTAGTGTCTGATCGTTGACGGCCGTGTGGTAGTTGACATCGCTCTTGCGTGCGTAAGCGACCTATGTGCATACGTTATGATTAAACAGGAGACAATGGTTTGGTACATATGCTATATATCCAAGCTAGTGGCGAGGTACGCCTTGAAGGGGTGTGCAGGACGTTGCAAACAGATACCCAAAGTTATGTAGATCCCACTTAGGTACCCACGGGTACTCTATATCCATCTAGTAGAAATAAAATAATCTGTCAGCGGAGATTGTAAATCATGGTCCCTCCCCGAAACCCGGGGAGGTGTCCCGTCTTGTCCTGTCCCTTCGGGGTTTTTGATTTTTTTACTGCCACTCAAGGGCGCCAGAACACCATTCGTAGAAAAAGTGTCAGCGTTTTCTCAACACTAGATTATTTGTTATCTAGGGTGTCTCCATGTGATAAAACGTGGGAACTACTTCAACAGTTTTCTACTACGCGCCACAGCGAATAGAAATGCGCAGAATTCTGTGGCTCATCGCGATACAAATGTATATTTAATACCGTTGTCAGTATAAGAAACGTCAAGTTTGTATACATGCACGTACTCGTGAAAACGTAATACGAGGAAAGCTGTTGTATATCTCAGAACTGAGACAACCCTGGCAGAGGGGATGGGCCGAGCTCAGTAGGTGTTATGGGTAATCATATATATCGTATACCGAACATGAAAGTTGACTCCGGGTTTTGTGAGTATTTTCATTTTGTATGTAGGGTTAGGTATGCACTGTATTCTCCTATTTTAGGAAGCTATGTTATTTAATGCACTCGTTCGTAAACTTGCCAAGCCTTGTACTTAGATATGTCACGAGAAGTAAACGTATTTATGTCTAATTGCTATCCCATTCCGATCGATTACTGAACCGTTCTACTTTGGTAGTTGCTATTCTGTTTGGCTCTAACCAGTCTTATTTTTGATTGGGACACAAGATTAACAAAATCTCAACGTCGTCCTACCTCAGTATTCAGAAATTAAAAAATATACCGAAATTTTCCAGTTTTATGTATGTGCTTTAACTCGTATACCCCTACGGGGGAAAATATACCAAGGTATTGTTGACGCATGTTTTAATATCGTTCCATACACTTATTCCGAGTGTCTCACGAAGAGGTACCACATACCACATAAATTCCAACGAATCTATGATATATCGACAAAAGTACCCTTCCATTAAGATGGAATACCCCTGAATATAGCATGTCATAAAGGCTCCATTCCAAATAATACAAGCACACGAGCATCTAAATTACTCCTATCCACACCGACGCACTCATCCAATCTTTGTGGCCCACATCCTCTAACACTTTTAACTCTCCTCGATGCAGATACACGCTCCATTCAGAATAAATACAAGCACAAACGCATCAGCAATACTCACATACACACAGACTCACTCACCCTATCTTTGTGATCCACATCCTCCATTACGTATGACTCTCCTCGATGCAGATACACCGCACCGTCGTACAGCTCGAAATGGGCTCTACGTTCTTCAATATTATCCAGCTCATGCTCTGTGTCAGCATCTAGCACTCGGTAGTCTGAAAAATGTGCAGAGAAAATTGATGCTTAGGCAATCATCAATAGGGTGTTGTGTTAAATACTATGGGATTGGTTTGAATCTCACACAGGCAAGCACAGCCAGCCCTACTATACAACTCGAAACCCGTCGTATATTTGTATATCTCACGTATACAAACATCAGTGAATAGTTCATGTCATATTTGCTATCTAGCATTGGAAAGCATTTGCAATATTCAGATATTCAACATATCTGTCTTGAGTGCAGGGCTAAAACTTTCCCGTGTGCAGCCTAAAGTGGGTTTTCTGAGTACAGTCCCGTAAGTTCGGGTAGCGATGTGAGAAGTCACTGGTATGGGACATAGTAAAGTATATGGTGTATGCGGCTTTCATACCCTCCCTCCAAAAGTTCCACAAGAAATATCATCGGTGTAGATATTCCGTATGTCTGTCTGGTCGTGCGGAAAGCCAATGTCAATAAATACAATGAGATGGTTGGTATTCCAAGCCTTTACACAGCGCGCACAAATCACACACTGCAGCGCACTGAGTAGATCACACATCGAACATACGTTGCATTCCCACAACACACACTCGTCTTTCTGTCCAGACAGTCGTTGGCATGATATTTAATGCCATGGATGTTATTCCAGGCTATTTACAGTACATACAAAACACACACTGCCGTACACCCGAATGTACTGTCGGTATAGATATTCCGCAGACTCTCCTTTCCGTACGGAAGGATAATGGCACGAGTTGTGGTGTAATATTCAAACTTCCAGGCTCCTACACCGCACGCACAACACGCACACTCAAGTATCCAGAACTAATCGCGCTCTCGCGCATACTCTCGGTGTAGATATTCCGTAGACTCGTCTTTCCGTGCGGAAAGTCAATAGCGTGGGAGGTAGTGTGGTAGTTATTGTTCGCGGCTCTGATTACAGCCCCATGTGCCGCGTTGTAGGACCCATCCACGGCCATTCCACGCACCATGTCTTGGATTAATGTGCCGTATTTGTCCCCAAACAGCCTCGCGTCGTAATTCCTGTAGTGTTTAAGTAGGCAAAATTAAAGTTAAAGGTAAAACTTGACGGCTGCATCACAGGTTATTGTTTCACTTAATTGTAGGATCAGCTACGTATTTAAGTTCACAGAGTGCTGCAGGAATCTCCTGAAGTTGTTGAGCTATGAGGAAGCTAAAACTTGATAAAAATCATATATACCACGTGCGGTGAAAACATATCTTACTTCGTGCCGGCGCAGAGTGGTAGCTCCGTGGCAGCACACAGCAGGTGCCACCACAGCACACGGTTGTTAAAGGGATCAAACACCACAGCCTCTGACGCCTTCGAGAACAATGCCTTGGGGTTTTTCATAAAGTGCTGGTCCAATGGAGAATTATAGCCAATGAGAACGGCGATGGACTGTTTGCCTGATCGTCCTGCACGCCCCGCCTGGATTGGATGTACAACAGATGAATGTTGAGGAGGTTGTAATATTTGCAAGTACAGATGGTCAAGGTTTTATATGTCTGGTAATAAAATAACAGTAAAAAGAACAAATAAAGATTTGCGAGAGAATGCAGGTGGTATCGGACCTATTCGCGTGCACCGACGAGGTCTAAATGTTGTCCTACAGAGTACTTGTATGAGCTACTCTAGGGTGTGCTACACATCAGTGTATTGATTTGCGAGTATATCTGGGCACCCGTCTGCTGCCACGGCGACGCTCTACTACAGGAATATCCAGCCGCAGTACACTATCCAATCTCCCTACACGAGGTCATTTTGAGGTCAATTATTCACACCGCGATTAAAGTTATAGCTCAATACCATACCAAACATAATATCAATCGCACATCCACCTGCTGCCACAGTAACGCTATACTACGGTATGGCCCGGCTGCGATACACGAGCTAAAATCTCCACTTAAGGCTAATTCGACAACACACACTCATACACTCAACCTGTGCACACAACACAGTAAAGCAACAGCCCTAGACAATGACTGTATATCACCAAACATAATATCAAGCGCACACACACCTGCTGCCAAAGCGATGCTATGCTACCGGGATAGCCCAGCTGTAGCACGCTATCTAAACTCCCTACATCGATTCCCAGCTCAAGTGCATTGGTGGCGATGACTGACAACAATCGACCGCCAAATAAGTCGCGTTCGATCTTGCGCCGATCCATGGCGGTGTATCTGTACGACAACAAATGAGTGATTACGACATGAGACGAAAGGCAAATGCAAATCTACAACAAATGAGAGTTTGCGCCTAATGAGAGACGCAGTGTGAGGGAGAATGAGAGCTATAAATGCGAGTATTAAATTTCCAGACGGGATGTCATAGTTATTGGGTTCCGATCCTGCAGAACCTCTGCATCAAGGATTGCACATCGGACAAGCCGCGAAAATATGAGATACTGATCTGGTTAGACTAGAGGTTTGCAATCACATGTCAATGACAAGCTTGGCTAGTCAGTAAGCTCTGTTGATACACAAGCCATGATATATGCTATGCTTATGTCTCGTGTATGAAATTCAAAAATAATTGATTGATAAGTTTTATGCTCGAAAGAACATACTGCATTGTAGAGCACATGTTTCTGATACCCTTTGTATATACACACGTAGAATCGTACCATATATTTTGGTTTCAATCGCAGCCGCAAATTCGATGCTCGTATACACTCGTATAAAATGTACTATTTGCGTACTGGTTAATCGGTAAAAACAATAGGAGAAACAATGCGTATACTATTCGAAACAAACCCACCTACACCCACAATGGAGCCAATCAGAGCCAAATCATCCACTCACAAATACACAGAAATATCTCCTCATACACTCGAGCGTTCAGTTCGTTCCCCACACACTTACCCGCCCCTATACGTGGTGATATATGGCACCAAATCCGGGCGCGGCGCAGGTAGGCCCGAGCAATCGCTGCCTTTGGTTTTGTGCCGATTTCCCCCCAACGTAGTAACACTCGTCCCCTCTCTCATCATGCTCTGAGTGACCTTGCACACCAACTCACAGACTGATCGAACCTTGCAGAATCCAATCGTCCTGAGGCCAGTCTTGGCCATCTCACACAGCAGCACACCGGCTTCGGTGTAGACGCTGTGTAGGTTGGTGTGGGGCAATCAACAATAGTGCAACGTTAAATCAAACAGAACTTGCTGTCCATATGGGTGTGATAACTAATGAAGCCTGGTGTGACATTCGTTGACAATAGCGTGATAGTATCTGAATATTGGTGTGGTAGTAATAGGTCAAGGGAAGGTTAAAATTGAACAAGGACTCCTTCTGTGTCACTAGAGCAATCTCTGACTGATAATATTCACCTCGCGGTATATCCAGGGCTATCGCCACTGCGGAATGCGAGAGCTACACGAGTTCACTGGCTCGAGCTTTAAGCGGCTATATAGCAAGTCAACGACTTCCGCTTCAACAATATTACACTTGTGTATCACAAAGGAGTCGCCCTCCTTAAACTTACGGCCAATTTCGCGATGCATAATCTCAAGGCAATAACACTAAACCCTAAACCTTAAAAAGGTCGATTACATAAGGGTAAAATGCAATGAAATATAAAATTAGAGTCGTGCCGGCGTGTGAAGGGCAGGACTGTGCGGGAGATCCTCTCCATTTGCACTTGGCACTGTTGGTACACACAACCCATTGGGAGTGGAATTCAAAACGCTGGTGCGTGGACCATACAACAGCACAACTGCGCTAAAAATATCAGTTGCGTATACAGACAGTCGCTAGCTTGAAGCAGAATACATACGTAACGATAAATAGCCAACGCGGCTCACAAATAGTAATCACACACACACACTGCTAGATCTATACCTTGAAAATGCGGCTGGATTCCACAGCACATAGTCTTTGCGCCCGTTGGGCGACCCGTCTTCGCCCACCACAACCAACCGCCTCCTCATATCCACAGATGGCCTATCCGGTGCTTGTGTGTGTGTACTTGTTGGCACTTGTTTGAGAGTCTCTGGTGCTTGGGTTTGTGTGTTTGTTGATATTCGTTCATTTCTTTCCGGTGCCTGCACTTGCGTATCGACCGATATTTGTCCGTCCGTGTCGGTGTGCGTCACGTGTGGTGTATCTATGTATCTGTCTGTGCTTGTGGTTGGGCGTGTCTGTGGTGTGCTTGATGTCTGCCGCGGGTTGTCTGGCGGCTGTATACTTGTTCCATCCTCTGAGAGTTCCGTGCAATCCATATCTGTCCCCCTTTGTACTGTTTCCGGTTGGTCTACGCCCATTTCAGCACTATCTTCTGCTCTCAGCGTACTTTCTGGGTGCGTATCAGTATCAGCTTGCTTATGCTCAGGTTCGTCAGGTACATCAAGTGGTATCAACCGTAGGGAGTGTTCGCGCGGGTTGGCTATCGTTGCGGTGCACATAATCCACTGCAAAAAAAATGATAGTAGATTAATTGTATGTGTGTGTAAATGTATATATTGTATTTAAACAACATATATACATAAATAAATCTATACATGTGGATTATGGACTGCACAGACCACATTTTAGTTAATTTTCTACACACACGCTCTTACTACACAAATAAGACGAGTAGGCGAATAGACAATAAACAACACACTCTGCACCGTGAGCAACCTTCTGGTTATAGTCTGAGTGCATGCAAGCCTATTGCATATCGAGCGATAGGGATTGCAAGTGTTCAAAAGAACCGGCAGATCCTTGCGCCAACCCCAGTTTAAAGAATAATTAAACTGTCCACAGGCACACCCTTGTGGTTCATGCGTACACCAATCTCGCCTAATAGATCTACCAAACGCAGATCTCACTACACCCAGTTCTACCTACCTGTGGGTCTGCTCCATAGTGCGCGCACATGCGCAGTAGCCGACGGAACACCATCGCCACATGTGACCCAAACTGTCCTCGGTAGATATGAGCCTCATCAACCACAACGAATCTGGTGTCATGGACGGAAAGCGGTGATGAAAATACAGCCTATAGACCTGAACTATCGCGACAATGGACAGGTCAGTACATATACAACACAGTAATGAATGTCAGCTCAAATACGTAGTCTGCTACAACTGTTGTTTCACCCGTTAGCATTAACTCTTCCTCCACGATGAATCTGGTGTCGTCGAGCAAAGGCGGTGATAAAAAAATTAGCCTGGTGGCTAGAAATGTCACGACTAGCAACTGCACGACGATGAATACAGTGGGGTATAAATATAGACTAGTGATGAGCATCAGGATTCCGGCATTAACTGTTAAAACTACTACTATTAATGTTAGCGCTTAAATTTCAAAATAGATGGAATGGAGTTGTCCAGCACCTGAACAAAGCAGTGTTCGAGGTGCATATACGAATAAGGAATACTCCAATCGAGAGAGGAAACGACTCCATTGGTCCTGCCATGTAAGCACACTTGCATGCACACCCCCTGCTAGATGAACGCACGATTGATACATATTTAACCGAGAGAAGAAGTGGCTCTATTGATCGTAGTATATGGGAATGATTGCATGTACACCAATTTGTACATATATGCATGATTGAGCCTTACTTCAATCGAGAGAGGAAGTGGCTCCATTGGTCGTGGTAGGGCAGGATGCTGGCGTGGATCATGTCTGGATTGCTGAGAATGATGTTAGCGCTCTCTCGTACTACGCTGCGCGTTTCTCTGTCTGTATCGCCGTCAAATGTTGCCACCTGCAGATATAGATACAAACATGTATAAGCATGTAGATACGGAAATACGCATATAAATATTATTCTAGATGTAGTGTCAACGTAAATGCGATAAGCGTATGTGGATATTAACTGAGCACACACATTAAAAATAAATAAACGTTCATTGAAAATAAATACGCACGTATATGTACATAGTTGATTCCATTCATACGTATGCAATTTTACCATGGCACTTTGTGCGTAGAAAATTAAAAATATAACTGTCACCAACCTTGACACGATTGCATAGAGTGTCATGGGCTGTGAGTTTCTTAAGCGCGCGCTGCTGATCCTGCGCCAGGGCTTTGGTGGGGAACAGATACAGAGCCATAGTCGTGGGGTCGTCTACTATTGCCTGCAGTACGGGTATGTTGTACGCTAATGATTTGCCTGCGAGGTGCGAGAAGGTAATTTTTATCGAGATTTTAAGCTGTGAGGTTCTTGTATTCAGTTCATACGATTCTACCTAACACTGGGTGTCGATGTACAGAGTACCACATGGTTGCCGGCGCTGGATGAGCGATTGTATGTGCCTGGTGAGCGCACAGAGTTTAAAATGGACAACCTATACCATACAACACCAAGGAATGCAACTCTGCACAATACTATACAACACAATCACATTTTGCACTATTAAACACTTGCAGGTGCCAAAAAAATGTTCGACGCACGAGCAGTAGCTTTGCTGCAGCACTTTATAACATCCCATACATTTCTACCTACCACTGGATGTAGATGTGCAGAGGACTACGTGGTTGCCGGCGCTGGAGTGAGCAATGGCGTGTGCCTGGTGAGTGTACAGCCGTTCAATCTTCGACACACACTTGACTGCATCGGCCACGGACCAGCCTATATTGGGATCTGCATGTCGTATTGTCGTACGAACGGAAAATATATAGTGGTATTGAGAAAGGTACAATAAAATCTTTGTACCAGATTGCCCGGTAAGTGTATAATCATCTAATCACCCGACACACATATTTGACAGCATCAACCGCGAACCAGTCTATATTGTGGTCTGCAAGTCGGTTTGTCGTACGGGGATTGCATAGTGGGGCGAGAAGTTATGTTGTAATATAATCCTAGATTGCCCGGCGAGTGTAATACCATTTAATTATCAACATTAATTTAACAGCACCAGCCACCGAGCTGCCTATGCTGGCGTCTGCGTGTCCGTGCGGATATTGTATAGCGGCACGAGGCAGCCATGGTGCAATCTCTACTTTTGAAAGTTGGGTTTAAGGATAAACCGTGATCTATTCAATACTGGATTCAAAGGCCGATGAGGATGAAGAGAGATACGTATGTGCTATATATAGAATATAATTCATAACCCGAGATTCTGCAACGGGAGGTTCACATCATTTTGTTGAGAACTGATTTCGAGTCGTATGCAGACTGGCCACACCCAGCGGTGACTATATACTGACCCTTGCATATATAAGACCCATAACAACATTGTAATTACACACACCTTTGTCGGATATCGGTTTCTGAGAACTTCGCGGCTCTGGCAGGGTCGTGCTTCACATGCGCTATTTGGCCATGATAGAATGGCAATAACTTGAGGTGGTATGTACCAAAACCACAGATATATACCATTACATAAACATACGCAGACACTAGGCAAAATAGGCACAGATACGCACACTCCCACAGATACAAGTATACACTAGAGGACTACCTCGACCACATACAAAGACACATCCACAGACACGAACCTTCGTCGATGTCGGTTTCGGAGAATTTCGCAGCTCTGGCAGGGATGTGTTCGACATGGGCTATTTGGCCATGGTAGAATGGCAGTGACTTGAGGTGGGCGAGGAACTCGGCGCTTGTTTCACCATCGCCATCGCCGAAGATGTTGCGGTCTAGAGCTTCGCGTGAGCAATCTGTGGAATTCATAGTTAAAAGTCCTAGTGTCAGGCTGGTATTGCATGCGGATATATTCTGACATAAACAGAAATATAAACTGGGGAGAATTTGTAGTGTCATGAGATAGAAACGGGGCAGTCCTAGAGATTCAGTGCTGGGACAGTATTGAGAAATCAGTACTAGAGGTTCTAGTGTCATGCCAATGCACTATGCGGATGTGGGGAAATATATTGTTTGCCGTGGTAGATACAAGGCAGTATGAAGATTCTGTGTTGCAACAGCATTGTAAGATCAGTATTGCATGTCACAGTCAAGCTATAGTCTATGCAGATGTAGGGAAGGGGAGTGTGTATCGTGATCGATACAGCACCAGGAAACACGAGACGACGCATAGAGCGCACCGCAGAGTATTTGTATGAAGTCTTTAGTCTAGAAAGGTGCGAGGAAGCACATTGTTTATTGTATCAAGATGTAGTATCAGAATGGTGTGGAGATACACATCACGGGTGGAATACATAGACCCAAGGGAGGGTATCAGCAAAGTGGAAGCAAATGCACGACGATAGACTAGCGGATGAGATACACAGACACGACCAGCCTGGCAATATACGTGATCTTGGCACGTACCTAGAAGACAACACGCTCATAACTAGCGCGCACATACAAGGATATAAACACACCCTCATCGCATAGGCTCTGTCATGTAATTCTGGTGTAAAAGGTATATAATCATTTCCAGTAAATCCGCATGGTATTGTGCAGAATTTATTGTTCTCTTGTGAAAGTGATTCATGGCTAGCTCATGGTAGAACATAGTACTTGCAAACGATAAATTGGTCTGAGAGGCTGTAGTGCCATAATAGCTGGAAGATCACATAGTGATAAGCACCCAGGCAAACGCTAGTGATATCGAAACGTATAGCCCACATCATCTGAAATCGAGTAATGTGAGCTGTTCAGTACTGTTTGGAGGTACGACAAGGAAGGCGAGGACGGAGATTGATTGCCTACTAAGATTGCATTGGATATCCCACTGTAGTACTACTAGGCGAAGAGAGACGCACAACCGCTGTCGAATATATGGACTACACCGACAGGGGTGGGTGAGTGAGAGTCCGTTGGCGCCAAAATTAGAACAAAGCAGACTCCACCCACAACAATGCATGTGCGGTCCCCTATTATCTAGACACGAGGTATATTTCACCTTTCGCAAGAATAAAAGCGTTGTATCTCCTAACATACACGTTTGACGATGAATTACAGTGGTGCATACAGCCATGTGTTTGTGCCTGCAAACTGCTCCCGTCCCAGTGACTGCAGTGCTATGCCTCCTAAAATTAATGTTTCACAATGAAAAAGCGTGTAGTGGTACATACCTGGCGGAGTAGTAGATCGAGTGCTGGGCTCGCTTTCAAAGTGTTCGTAGTTGACCGTTGCAAACAACGCCTCCTCGTATACTGTCGCAGTGTCATCAAGTGTACCGAACTTCGCCAACCACAATTGCACCTGCAAAGATACAAGATCATAGGTGGACCTTAATATATACATGTTTTTAGTTTTTTAGGGTTTTACAAAGCATGAAAAAAAAAACTGCCATGTTTGCAGATGCAACGGTACATGTACACACGCAGAGAAAACGGGACGAACATTAGTATATACATGTATTTATAAATAAATACATCTTTAAACACAAAGAATGGCGATATACTGGCCACGTTTGCACTGTAAGGACACAAGTATGAATTGATGTGTATCCCAGTATAACCACATTTGCAAACACAGATCCATACGAACACACACAGCGGGTTGCGCATGTGCATCTCCGCCTGAAGAGAAGTTTAATATCTGAGTGTGCACATACATCGACACGCGCCTACTCAGTAGGCACACATAAAGTATTGTAGAATAACAATCAGTTATTTGCGCTTGCTTTCTAGTTGCAGTCCCAGACTATACACACAGGTACACGCTCACACCGACACATACGCGGATACACACTACAATTTCATCCCATACACATACACAGACACGCACGCGCACATACTAACACACATCCAGATACCCACAACGCTCCCAGACCAGCCACGCTCATCCGCAGCTGAAAAGAATAAACGCCATTCCGTCAGATGTACACTCCACTCATTGATACTAACATACACAGACACACACACACCAACACACCACTAGGTACATACAATACTCCCAGTCACACTCATCCGCAGCTCAAAGGCTATGCCGCATTCCGTGAGATACAAAATCCTCTCATCGATACTTACATACGCAGACACGCACACACACCAACACACCACTAGGTACACACGATACTCTCAGTCACACTCATCCGCAGCTCAAAGGCTATGCGCCGGTCCGTCAGATGCACACTCCACTCATTGATACTTACATACACAGACACGCACACACACCAACACACCCCTAGGTACACACAACACTCCCATTCCCACACACCTGCAGATCAAAGGCTATGCGCCGGTCCGTCAGATGCCCACTCCACTCATTGATACTTACATACACAGACACGCACACACACCAACACACCCCTAGGTACACACAACACCCCCATTCACACACACCTGCATCTCAAAGGCTATGCGCCGGTCCGTCAGATGCACACTCCACTCATTGATACTTATATACACAGACACGGCACACACACCAACACACCCCTTGGTACACACAACACCCCCATTCACACACACCCGCAGCTCAAAGGCTATGCGCCGGTCCGTCAGCATGCGAGGGGTTGGCATTTTGCGGCCTTTAGAGCCCTTGCCTATCATCTCAATGATGGAGTCGCTCTTCCGAACGACTGATGGAGGTGGTAGACTCGTTCTACAATACGGGGCGACAAGTAGAGATGGCCGATCTATAAATAGCATCTATGAACATGCCAATCATGGGGAGAGTAGTGCGGTCTAAAAAGAGGTCAGACTGAAAGGCAACGAATTGGATGTTAGCTTTCCGAACGGTTGGGGAAAGAGATAGACTCGATCTGTAATACGTGATGACAGCGAGAGATGATCGATGTATAAATAGACAAGCCAGAGTAGGAAGTGTAGTGCAAATTATAAATAAATTAGGGTACGAAGCAAGACAATGTAGAATATGCGAAGATAGCAGCACAACGTTAATAATGCATGATGCATGTGCGCACGCTGAGGTGGAATCAATGCGTAGCTGCGTTGAGACTTCAGAGAATCAAGACCAGCATATCCACCTGCCGGCGTGTCGTAAAAATGTCCATAAAAAATGAATTAACACAACTACCAAGAACATCTTGATGCAAATACCCTGACTTTTAATTCACACTCACAATCAGTACCCACTTTTCGAGCGCATACAACACACACACACATACCCCTGATCGTCCGCTGCGGCCCCCTTCTCCCTAAAGAAACCCTCACTCGCCAGCGCGGCCGTCTCATCCGCCCGTTTCTGCCCCTCTGTACGCGTGTCCAGGCGATACGGCTCCTTCATTGCCTCCAGCTTGAATATATCCTCGAGCTCATACGCATTGTGGTACACTTTGATCAACTTCGGCGCGATGGCACACAGACGGGCCAGGTCCACGTGTGTGGGGGTGATGCCACAGTTGGCTGCCGCCACCGCCATGACATTCTTGAACGACAGCACACGCCCACCTATCCTTAGGAACGCACATCCGAGATCGATGGACTGGTATAGCACCGCCAGCCGCTTCATACACTCAGGAAGCTCTCTCTGTACAGTGACAGTAGTACCCTCATCCGTTGCCATACTAGCGTGTGTGCTGTGTTGCACGCGTGTATCTTTGCTTGTGCTCGTATTCGTGCTGATTGTCTGGCCTCTTTTAGAATTTTTGTTCTTAGTCCCTTTCGGCCTACCCCGTTTGCTCGCCGAGCCCTTACCAGCAACCGCAACTGGTGGTAAACATGTGCTTGTGTCTATATCCCTATCTTCTACACCCATTCCTGTCCCCACTTCTATAGATGTTGCATCTTTTAGCGCTCTCCCTTTCTCCTTATTTTTAGCGCCCTTGGGCCTGCCCTTCTTTCGTGCTGATTGTGGCATACCCCCATCTCGTTGTTGAGATGCATCTGTGTGTCTTATACTACGCGACCCTACTAATCCCTCATGTAATTGGTCCGCCTGTTGGCGTGACTGGGTCCGTGCTGTACTCTGTGGCACCCCATGGCCCTTACCAGAACTCTCATCTGTCGATTTGTTTTCTATCACTATAATATTAAAATCCGTCTGGTCGCAAATTAGTTGGCTGTCTACTTCTAAACTGTTCTCTGGTACCCGTGATGCATCAGGGCTATCTTCGTCTATCTTTGTTTTCTTGCTCAGTGATACACGTGCACAGGCATGAGTGGTGCGCTTTGGCCTGTCGAAGTTCTCCATAATGCAAATCTACGACAATCAAGCATATGTTTGCTTTGTCTGCCTAAATTAGTACATATCAATCCTCCATATTCCTTGCTTCTGTCTCGTTCGACACATAGGCAAGCGACACCACAATTAAATATCAAATGCGTATGGAATGGTAAATCTATTACTACACTACCAATACTTTTTAGTTGCTTACTTCTGCATTATATGTATATAATTACTGCCTATACGCCTCTATTATGTAGCAACGAACGAACAGTATCAACTAAATAACTACTATTTATTAGTATTTAGTGATTAGCAAACACGTATCTCTGAACGTGAACCGCAGAGGCTAAAGTGTCAGGGCTTTTTCCGCTATGTCATCAGGTCATCAGCTACGTGTCGAATCGGTTTGTGCATTAGACGTTTAACGTAAACGCAAAAACTGATTGAACATTATACGTTTAACGTGAAAAAGCTGCACATATGTACTGCTCACTCGAGAATTTAAATGAAGTTGAAATCCACACGAAAGTACAATTAAAACGTAAACGTTAGCTCAGGAAAATGTGGTTGATTTATAAACGTTTCAACGAGAAACGAACTGATTAGGCATTGTGATGCCAATGCCCAATGTTTATCGCTGAAAAAAATAGCGCGCCAAAATCTCCACGAGCATATATTCACAGATTTTGTAAAATACTGTTTTATTGCAAGAAAATTGTAATCGACAATTCCGCCAATAAGGCATATATTTACATCGCCTTCTAAAAAATTATCGTGTATAATTTAGAAGGCAATGATATTTATTAAAACACCACAAGTATAAACAGCCATCCCTGAAGGGCTTTACAGAGGAATCAATGCGCGAGAAAATGTTCTATTTAGGAGGCCATGGGACAGCTATTACTAATACTAAACGAATTACTTGCACAAGCGGAACAAAACGCTCCATTTCACGAATAAAAGACATTGAGCCGGAATTTAAAACCCTCCTATTGTAGTACTGCGTATCTCTGCCTCGTAACTTCAAACGGCTCTGCGGTAGACACATAGCTTGCTGATTTAAGACGGCATATGGGAGAATACCACCGGCGTACGACGGATATATTTAAATACTAGCAGGTGTCGAGTGGCTGTGCGATTACAGGTCCAAGGGTTAAAATAGAGGCATACTCCATCTTAATGTGGGGTTTATGCTATAAGATGCTCAATATTAAACTGTACAGCAGATATCTGTAGTGTAGCATTTATAAACATATCCTTGCCAGACGATGCTAAATTAAACCGTACTGTATACGAATTTATAAAATCGAAAGTGAACCTGTTACACTCTCGAACAGAATTTTATACTATGTACTGGAGAACTGGTAGTGTAGTCTGGTAAATACAAGAGCAAGTGTTTGTATCAACACGCGTTGGCAACTTGGCACTACACGAGAGAACGATCAACTACAAAGTCACGAACAGGGCGACAGCTCCCTACAAAGTACAAGCGGCGCGGTGCTTTCTGAAATCTGATTGGTGCGAACATATCACCTCATATCAATCAATTTTATTATAAAATCAATCAATTTTATTATAAAAAAATAATCACTTCTAAAGTTCTATGTACAGAGTACAGACTACAGAGATATTCAACAGTTCTCTGTTAACTTCGCAATATTTTGTTTGGGAAAAATACGACTGAAAAAAGAAAGTCTATATATACACACTTATTGATATAAATATGATATCTGATTTGTAAATAACACAAGATACAATATTTACACTTCCAAATGTGACGCGCCTCACAAAAGCCCTCACTTCGACAAGGCTTTTAGATACTCAAGGCGTCCATGTACTTGTTAGTAGTACACGCAGGGTAGTGTACAGCATATCCACTATACACTTGTAGAAACACGAGCTACGAGTATGGCTGCGCTCCTACGCTGGTGGTCAGGGGACCCAGAGACGGTCGACCCCCCAGAAATAGACACTCCCCACACAGCACTATTCGGACCCTCACACGATACACAAAATACACTTGATACTGATAGATTAGCCACACCAGAAATACCTAGCATACATCCACCCAAGCACACACGGGTAAGGGACGAAGATGCTATCTCTTCGAATAGTGGAGGCTCTCTGCTGAACTCGAGCGGAAACACAAAGTCTTACGGCGCTGTGAATAAGGACGACGAGGCCATCGAGCGAAGCAATGCGCTGGCGGTGCCTGGGTTGAAGATTCCTACTGCACATCCCCCCTCATCATACACGCCCAGTAATTCCGCGTCCAAGCGATTCTTTCATCAACATAACAGTGATAGCACAGAGCGGTCAGCTACTACTGCCGCAGGCTGCACAAAGAGCACTTCGCATGGCGAGAAAAACACATCAGGTCTATTAAAACCGGAAACCTCGGTTAAATCACTTGCACGCTCACATGATGCTGCGCACACACTCGCAGATAATGTGAGAGATATGCACAGTGAAGAATCAGATACATCGTACTCAGAAACAGAGCCGAATAGCGCTGACCTGCAGAGAGCTGATTCAGGGTACGGTCTGAGATTACATGACGGGGCTGTGCATAAGCTGGCGTTGGAGCTGCCGGAACGGGTGGTGCAGGCGAAGGGAGCGCTTAAGGGTCAGATACACATTGAAAATTGGGCGGTATTATCGGTATGTACTTTATTGTAGACTTTTTGAGTCTGCTTATAGTTGTCGGATGCCGACTTAGATATGAACTTTGAGTGGTATAAGAAAACGTATGCACACTTTGGTATCATCACACAATTAGTTGTACATAGATACATTAGATAGACCCTTCATCAGGCTCGCATTGTTTATACATACATGCATATGGGTGAAATATTGTATGATAATAAAGGTATGAGCATTTGCGAAAGTAGTTCTTTTGCTTCATCTGTGAGAATACGTTGAGATGGGTAGTAGTTTTTGTTGGTATGTATCACAAGCCTATGTTTACAACTCAGACCGGTATGAAGAATCGTGTCCTTAACATAGTCACACCTGTATACTTAGGCTGATTTGTATATATATATTTGTGTCTAAAACCACACATTTATTAAAACATCGAAACAACCATACACATACACACAAACACACAAATATATATATATCTATGATCCAATACAAATACAAACATAAACACACGCACACGTGTACACACACACACACACACACACACACACACACACACACACATATAGT